GCACTTACACTTATAAGTGATAACTGATGGTGTCAGAGTTGCCTTAATCCAGCAACATAGCATCGTATCCTATGTTCCCTGCATTTTATGTATCTGCTTCAGTCTTAGCATTTAATATCTGGAATTTTGAATGAGCTAATAAATATATATAGCAGTGATTAAGTCCGTTCATTTTTATCTTGTCTAATCTTTTTTTTCTTTTGAGAGGTTTTTGCTGTAGGGCGCATGTGCTTCCTGGAGAGAGAGAGAAAGAGAGAAATCAGCCCCCTGGCGTGTGGCTACGCCGTAATCCCTTCTCCACTCACCTCTTGGGATTTTGGGCATGCATGCACATGTGCCCAGTGCACGTTTTAAGCTACTGGGCTTTGAACCAGGTTGAATACATCAGAGTCCTGTGACAACCATTACTCCGTCTGCTGGTCCCATATTGGCTAATCTTACCTGTTCTTTATGTTTTTTTTCTCCTAAGGCCAGGCTGGCAGTGCTAGATAATCTAGCATTAATTAATGTGAATGATAGGGATTGAAGATTATATGATATGTACACAACTACTAAAGGATTGGGCAGAAAATCATCTTTTCTGGTTTTTCCCTCTAGCCTTTTCAGAGAAGTTGATGTTGATAATGTTTCTTAAAATACTTAGGGTTGGGCCAGCAGGTGGCATGGTGGTTAAAGCACTAGACTTCCACATGGCTGACCATAGTTTGAAAAATCCTGGGACCTGTAAGCTCGCTCTCGCTCTCTCTCTCTCTCTCTCTCTCTCTCTCTCACGAGTACGTGTGCCTTGTAGCAATTTTTAAAATAATAATAATAAAATTAAATTCAAAAGAAAACACTTCGAGTTAACCCTCAGCCTATGGGAGATGCTATTAAATAATGTAGTGTATAAGCACAGGAAGTCAGGCTCATGCATCATGGCTGCATGCTGTGCCCATAATAGCTGTAAATCTAGTTTAAAGTACTAAATCACAGCCAGTTGTATGGTAGTCACAAAGAGCCTAACACCAGATCCTCCTTCCTTACCTCCATAGTTGTAGTTGGCATGTTCCTGGTTGATATAAATGAACAGTGAATTTCTATGAATACAGTAATGAATCTAGGTGGAAATCACCATTCATTGCTGGATCATTTGTAATAGATGGATCAAGCTTATAGTATCTGAATCCATTAGGCAACTCCTCCACCTCAATTTTGTATTTTGACAGGTTTTAAAGATACAGAAAAAAACTACAAACATATACCTGTTTATCTGTCCTTCAGTTACTGGGTCATCAGAAAAGTCATAATGCTTTTTTGCACAGAAAAATACATATATTTCATAGTTTTTTGTATTTTGCCTCATTTGTCTTACTTGTGTGTGTGTATAAATAAATTTTCTTCTTGAATTGTATGAAAATAAGTTACAGAATCAGTTATGTCACAATTTCACGATCAGTTTAACCTTTTTAAGACATTCTGTGCAAGTACAGTGCCGTTATACCACTTAGTAAATTGAACATAGAGCTGGCCCCATAGCCTAGTGGTTAAAGGAGCCAGATCCCACATGGCCCACTGGTTCAAATCCTAGCCCTGTGGCTTGAAAAACACACAACACACATGCATGCTTTCTTGCCCCCAATCCCAATGGGATAGAAAAATAGAGGAGAGGGGATTGCAGTGTGATCGCACCCCATTGGTCAAGGTCCCTAACAACACTCATGTTTTTTCTGGCTAATCCATGCACTCTCTAGCAGTTAAAAAAAAAAAAAAATTAACATTGATAGAATACTTTTATCTAAATAGATTTCCATATTCATGTTTTATCCACTTGTCCCTAATATTTTTACAACTGTTTTTCCAGTATCCACTCTAGAATCACACATCATTTAGTAATGTCATTTGTAAGTCCTTTAATCTAGAGGTATTTCTGGGCCGTCTTAACTTTATAACACTAATGGTTTTGAATAGTTTAGCTGATTTATTTAGCAATGCACTCTCAGTGTAGACTTAACTGATTGTCTTCTCATGATCTAAGTGATCAAACCTTTGTTGTTATAAAAAGCAAAAGCCTTCATAGGGAAATATTTAACATGAAAACAGAAAGCAGGGATGTACCTCATGCACACGATGCCCAGTTTCATCAATTGCCAGTGTGTGGCTGACTTTGTTTCGTATATACCTGCACATCTACATATGGCAGATCCTAGGCTTTGTAATTTATCTTTTCGTCTGGAAATACGCCCATCTTTAGCTCTAAAGAGTAAGGACTATACAATTTTAAACTTCCACACTAAATATCACAACAAAGAAACAGTCTTTCTGATGGAAGTACATCAAGCTACTGTGAAATATTCTTGCCAAAAACTTATACTTTGGGACCAGCAGTTAGCGTAATGGCTATGTCACTGTACTCCCACGTAGTCAACCGCGGTTCGAGTCCTGGACCTGGTGGCTTAAACTCACGCTGGGCATGCGCACGTGCGTGCCCCAGATCCCAAGAGGAGAATGGAGGAGAAGGGATTGCGGCGTGGCCATCTCCTCTGGGGGTGATTTCTTGCTTTCTATCTCTCTGTCTCTCTGTCCTTCTGGCGAGCGCACGTGCCCTATAGTGAAAACCTCTCCCCCCCCCAAAAAAAAGAAAGAAAAACTTGTACTTTGGTCTGCTAACTGTCTAGATATAACTAATAGTTTACTAGAAATACAGAGGTGAGAGGAGTAGGTTAAATAATACAGTGGAGGTATGTCAGCAACATTCGGAGTATAGGGTCTCCATGAGAAATGATATAAAAATGACAGAATATATAAAATGAAAAGGAGAACCTGTAGAATGAAAAAGATTTGAGATACATCAACCAAAAGAGTATTCTCTTTCTGGATCCTGATTTGAACAAACTAATAAAAATGATTAAGAAAAGACAGAAGAGCCAGTAGGTAACATTGTGGTTGAGGCACTGGTCTCCCACATGGCCAACCACGGTTCAAGTCCTGGACCTAGTGGCTCAAAAACATAATGAATAGGTAAATAAATAGTGTTTTTTTTTTCTTAAATAATTATTTTTTATTAACTTTATTTATTTTATTTTGACCAGAGGGGGCCAGAGAGAGAGAAAGAAAGTGAGAAAGCAAGCCGCCAGGTCCAGGACTCGAACTGCTTTCAGCCAAGTGGGAATCCAGCACCCTTAACCACCATGCCACCTGCTGGCTCCATTTTTTAAACTTTATTTAATTTTACTTTAGTTTGTTTATTTGCTTGCTTGTTTATTTATTTTTTAGATTTATTTATTTTTATTTGACCACAGAGGGACAGAGTGTGGGTGGGGGGACAGCGAAAAAGCAAGCTGCCAGGTCTAGGACTCTAACCGAGGTTGGCCATGTGGTCCAGTGCCCTTAACTACCACTCCACCTGCTGACCCCAATAGATAATATTTAAAAAAAAGAAAAGAGTGTCAGTTTGGGTGATTTGAGTGCAGGCTCGTGCTATGAAAACTGTTTTAAGTTTTTAAGCTGTTAAAATGGTGTCATAGTTCTAATTCTTTGAAAGTCCTCACCTACTAGAGATATGTACTGAAACATTATGCATTAAATGATACCTAGAATTTGTTTGAGAGTAACGTGGGGATTGGTCTGGAGTTGATCAAGTTCATCATTTTGAAACTGGGTGGTGGGTACTGGATGGTCATCATACTCTACACTGTTATATGTGCTTAAAACTTAACAAAATGAAGGGTTTTTATTATATTTTTAAGGTGGGGTTAATGGTAAGTCTATTTCATAAACTTGTAATGCATATACTGTTGTTTATTGCTATTAAATTGTCCCAATATTAGCCTTCACTAGAACAATGAAATGTGACCACAGACTATTGTATTATTTTAAAAATTCTTTGTAAACAAAATATTACTCTCCACTTCTTTTTAAGGTAATGAGCATGGTGTCAGGATTTGCACCATTAATTTCTGCAGGTATTTTTTCAGCCACTCTTTCTTCAGCATTGGCATCCCTTGTGAGCGCTCCCAAAATATTTCAGGCAAGTATTTTCATATTATGGGGCTTATTGAAGGGGAGGTGAAACATTCGGAGGCAGGAAAGAAAGAGCAGTGAGAATTAGAAACTTGGGTTCTGTTCTTGATTTACCTGTCATAACTGTAAGCAAATCTGTCGTTTTTGATGTATTTTATTTAATGTTGCATTTCTTCATTAGGCTCTATGTAAGGACAACATCTACCCAGCTTTCCAGATGTTTGCCAAAGGCTATGGGAAAAATAATGAACCTCTTCGTGGCTACATCTTAACATTCTTAATTGCACTTGGATTCATCTTAATTGGTTAGTTATATAAATGATGAATTAATGTTAATTTTGGTGCATTTATAATATTAGCTCTAAACTTTGTATTTAATTATTATCAGATATTTCTGTTTGGTATACTAAATTTATTTCTATCAAACAAAAGACTGCTTATAAAGTACTGCAAATAATAACACTGGGTATATATTTACTAAAATGGTTACCATCAGTAAGTCCTCATTAGAGCTCGAAGGAACTTTTTTTTTTTTATGGGGCCAGCAGGTAGTGTGGTGGTTGAAGCACTGGATTCCCACATGGCCAACCACGGGACCTGGAGGCTTGCTTTCTCACTTTCTCTCTCTCTCTCTCTCCAAATTAAAATATAATAGTTATGATAATAAATAAAGTAATTCTTACAAAAATGTATAGCATATGGAGAAGGATTTCAGTGTCCAGTGAAAGCACCTCTGTCCCAACTATATTTTGCCTCTTTCATCTCATCACAAATGAACTAATGGTTCTTCTACTGGTAAAGAAAATACCGTTCTCTTAAGTTTAAAAGAATTTTGTCTCGGGACAAGCAGGTGGAATGGCATTTAAGGTACTGGACACACTCCCACATGGCTGGCCATGGTTCAAGTCCCAGACCTGGTAACTTGCTTTCTCACTTTCTTTCTCCTAAAATTAAAAAAAAAAAGTGAATGAATAAATAAAATTAAATAATTCTTAAAAAAAAGAAATTTGCCTCAAGTTAATTGACATTAAATGTCTGAGGATACCACCGAGTTTCTTGGGGGCCGTATGGAAAATAACTGTCTCATAATGCTGGTAGAGGTGTATTTGGTGTAGCTGCTCTTGGCAAACAAGTTGGCAATACCTAGTAAAGTTTTCCATGATCCAGAAGTTCTCTTTTCCGGTAAGTTACTCTAGAGAAACTTTCATATTTACCTAAGAGCTATATGGAAGAGTGCTTTGAGAATCGTTAATTACAATAGTGAAAAATGGAAGCAACATAAATCAATAGAGGAGTGAAATTGTAGAATAAATAATGTACAACAGTGTAAAACAATCCAAAAAAGGAAATGTTTGGTTTTCGTCAGCAATGTAGATGAATTTCAAACATAATAAATATAAAAGATAAATTACAGGGCTGCTACCTTGCGCAGTGGTTAAGTGCTACGCATAGGAAGCTGGAATCCCACATGGTCAACTATGGTTAGAATACTGGCCCTATAGCTTGAAAAGCACTCCAGGTGCAGGTGCATGCATGCCCCGAATTGTAATGTAAAGGAGAATTAGGGAGAAGGGATTGTGTTGTAACCATGCCCCTGGGGAGTGCTTTCTGTCTCTCCCTTCTTTTTTTCTCTCTGCACACATGCTCCCTCTGGTCATTGAATTTAAAGAGCCAGCTTACAGAATGATGCATGTAATATGATATTATTTATAACTTTCAGATCATCGAGACAGTACTATATAGTGCTTATGGATTCTGTTTCACATGAACAGAACTGTGTAATGTGATTTGAAAGAATATACCAAGTTTGGAATAGTGAGTATAAGGGAACTTCAGCTGCATTCATAAGATTTGATTTCTGAAAAGTAAAGTAGATAAAGCATACATAGCAAAATATAAGTAATTATTTCATGTGGATGGTAGATATAGGAGGGAAGAAAGAAGCGAGAAAGCAAGGTTTCGAATAACAATTTTTAAAAGCCTAAAATAAACATTGTCTAGTATGTCAGTTAAATGTACCTCGTATTTCTTTTACAGCTGAACTGAATGTTATTGCTCCAATTATCTCCAATTTCTTCCTTGCATCATATGCTTTGATCAACTTTTCAGTATTCCATGCATCACTTGCAAAATCTCCAGGTAATTTTACATTTTTAAAAAGTTTTGCAAATGAATGTTTTTGATTTCAGAGTAAATAAAACTTTGACCCATTTTAAAAGATAGTATGTGTATGGTTAACACATTAATGCTGGTCTCCCTTTACTGTTAAATCAGGTCTTCAAAGATCTCTTTATTAGAAAGTAATAATATTCTGCTCCTTGTCTTCAGAGCACTAAGCATTTATCTAATTTTAATTAACACTGTGAAATAATTGCTTTACTGTTTTTTAAAATTATTTTGGGGGTCTGCAGATGGCATGGTGCTAAAGGCGCTGGATTCCCCCTACATGTTTGACTGCGGGTTGAGTCCCAGACCACCTGGCAGCTTGCTTTTTCTCTCTCTCTGTCTCTCTCTGGTCAATTTAAAAAATAATAATTATCAGAATAACATAATGGAATTGAGTAAATAATTCTTTAAAAATTATTTTTTGCTATTTAGCTCATTACTTTTCAGTGTAAAGAACATTATGATGATATAGGTAGCCCATTCAGTACTGTTTTTAACATTGTAAATGTGGTAGAATTCTAACATAGGGTCTTAAAAACATTTATAGTGGCTTTTACTATAAACTGACAATAGTTGGAAATCAGGGAAGGATCCGAAGGAACAAAAGCATGTTTCCTTCTAAGGATCTGTAAATCCTTCAGAACAGAAAAGATAAAGTATGGGAACTTAAAGCACAGACATTTTAGCATCAGTTTTTACTTTAAAAAATGATATGAATTTTATTGAAATAATTTTTAAAAATTTGAGACTTTGATGTGGACTATCCATCAAAGAAAATAAAAATACCTGATATTCAACTTATTTTTTTTTTTTTAGAGAGAGATTTTTGCTACAGGGCCTGTATATTTACTGGAGAGACAGAGAAACAGAAAGTGAGAAATCATGCCCAGGACCAATGGCCATGCAGGAATCCCTTCTTTTTTATTCTCCTCTCAGGATTTTCTGTGTATGTGCACGTGCTCGTGTGCACACACACACACACACACACATATCTCAGTGTGAGTCCCAAGTCCCCAGGTCCAAGACTCAAACCACAATCAATAATGTGGGAGTCCAGCAATGTAACCATTACACCATCTGCTGGCCCCAATAGTCAACATTTTTTCGAGTAAATTCATAAATACTTCAATAAATGGAAAGGTATGTGTTTCTATTTTAAAAATTAGCTTTTCTAGCAACTGGTTGAGTTTGTAATGATTTTCATGAACATTTTGTTTGCAATTTTTCCAGCTTTTTAAAATTTATATATGTATGGTTATGATTGTTAGGTGTATGCACTCTCTGAGAGAGAAGGAAAGTGAGAAATCACCCCCTCGGGGAGGTGGCCATGCCTCAATCCCTGATCTTCCGTTCTCCTCTTGGGATTTTGGGCATGCAAACACATGACCAACATGACTTCCAAGCTGCTGAATCAGGGACTTGAACCACAGAGTTGGTCATATGGGGGATTCAGCTGCCTTAATCTCCTTCCCACCTGCTGGCACTTGTTTGTAATTTTTTAATGTATTACTTGAATACAGTGGTAGCTCATGCTCCAAAACAGAAAATAAAGATATATTGCTAAGGAGTCCACTAGACACCTTCCTTTAAAAAAAAAAAAATTATTTTATGGGACCAGCAGTTAGCGTAATGGCTATGTCGCTGGACTCCCACGTAGTTGACTGCGGTTCGCGTCCCCCACCTGATGGCTTAAAAGTCACACCAGGCGTGTGTGCATGCATGCTCAAGATCCTGAGAGGAGAAGGGAGGAGAAGGGATTGCGGCGTGGCCATCCCCCCGGGGGGTGATTTTTCGCTTTCTATCTCTCTCTTTCTCTCTGTCTGTCTGGCAAGCGCACGCGCCCTATTGCAAAACCCTCTTCAAAAAAAAATTATTTTATTTAACTGTATTTATTCATTTATTTATTTATTTCAACTTGACCAGAGAGTGAGAGAGGGAGACAGAGAGAGAGAGAGAGAGAGAAACAGAATGCAAGCCGCCAGGTCTGGCCCTCAAACCATAGTCAGCCATGTGGGAGTCCAGATGCCCTTATCCACATGTCACCTGCTGGCCCTGAAGCCTTCCTTTTTTTAAGCCTTTTGTAGTTTTAAATACAGAATAGTTTTTTTTAGAATAGTTTTTTTTTTTTTTCTTTTTAAAATAACTTATTGACTACAGAACTAGTAAGATACAGGAATTTGAAAGTATAGGTGTTCCCTGTTCATGACCACCGAGAATTGTAAAAATCAGTTGTGATCAATAACAGTTTTTGACTTTATTATTAGCTACTAGGCTTATTAAATGCTTAGAAGTTTTCTCAGTACCAGCCCTAAATTAGAAAGTTTTGTGCATAGATCTGTTCCATTGTATAAAGCAGATGATGAAATACCTGAGCGACTTTTATTTCTCTACTTATTCATCTTTGGTAGGATGGCGTCCTGCATTCAAATACTACAACATGTGGATATCACTTATTGGAGCAATTCTTTGTTGCATAGTGATGTTTGTCATTAATTGGTGGGCTGCATTGCTAACGTATGTCATAGTCCTTGGACTGTATATTTATGTTACCTACAAAAAACCAGGTCAGTAGCCACTTTTTTTTTTTTTTTGGTATTTTTCACTTTGGTACTTTGTTACTTTTGATATTTAAGCATCATCTTTTATATATTTGAAGGAATTTCATGTAAAACTCAAAATAACTCATTTCCAAATACATTTAGCTTTTGTTGTTCTTTTCCAGATACGTGTAGTTTTAATGAAACAGTCAGTTCTGGACTTTTCTATTTCAGTGGAATTCCATTCTTACCCATAGATTGAATTTAATTATATTAAAAGACAAATAATAAATGCATATAATTAAACTTCTGTTACACTGAATGTATTTCAAAGTTATTCTTTGAAAGGATTCATAATCATAATGTAGACGCTATTAGCCTAATCAAACATTAATATCTGTTGTAGTCCCAGAACTATAGTAAATACTAAGAAATTCACATGACACTTTAAGACTTATATCCTTGTCACTAGGTTTCTGTGTAGTGGAGAAAATTGGGCAAATATGTTTTAAGTGGAAAAGAATGATTCCCTAGTATGTGTCCTATTGATAATGGCTAGATATCTCCATAAGATGATTCTGCTCGGGTTTATTAGGAGTGATCTAGTATTCTGTATTGTAATCTGTAACACAGAAGAAAGATGTGCTGAGAAAGGTTTGAAAAGTGTGGGCCTAATAGAATAGATTAGGAAGAGATTACAAGAGTAGTTGCAAAGCAATAATTTTGTTCTTGTCCTATTTATTTATTCTTTGGGAAGAAGGATGGGATGTGAGTGCACACCCAACAGAGTCTTGATGCTGTGATCACCCCGAGCTCTCAGGCAGCTCCAGACTGTGGTGTCCTGCCTTCTCAGGGAAGTCTCCAGAAGGAAAAAGGTTTTCCTATGTGGTCCCTGGTCAGCCTTGCAGAACATTGCATTTTATTGCTGCGCCACTGCCTGGCACCTCCAATGTAATAGCTTTGAACAATGAGGAAACATTTTGTAATCAGATATGAAATGATAAGGGTTTAGATTATAGAGTCGTGGATCTAGAAATGAAATGGACACAGCAGCTATTGTTTTAATCATTTTAGGAAACAATTATTTCTCTGACTTGGTATGTCTGTACATGAACAAATATCTGAAATTATTTGATATCTAAGCTGTTTATGCAATAAGAAATGAAAATTTCCTGTCCAAATAATCTGAATAGTTAGGTACTATAAATAGGGCTTCTTAACTTTAAAGAGCTACTTCTCCTTCCCTTTAAACCTTTGGCTTTGTAAGCAATAATTTTTTTTTTAAGCAATAATTTTTTTGTTCATTTGTGAAATAGTCTCTTAAGCTATCTGCCCAGTATACCTACAACTCCATCAGCTCTTTTCTAAGTTAATACATTTTCTCTAAATCAGATTATAGTGCAGATTATTCTAGTCTTATTATCGAAAGTTGCATGTACTATAAGTTTATTTTAGCAATCGACTTTTTAAATATGAAAGCATTGTTTGTTTCTCTAAATTGCTTATTGATTGGTTATGCTGCATGAACACTGTCCTCCTGCAGATGTGAACTGGGGATCCTCTACTCAAGCCCTGACTTACCTGAATGCACTGCAGCATTCAATCCGTCTTTCAGGAGTGGAAGACCATGTGAAAAACTTCAGGTAGGTGATAAGGTGACATGGAAACATTTTCTCTTCGCTGGTTAGTCAGCTGTTAAATTATGTTCAATAACACTTTATATACTGGTGGTTCATAAGAAGTTCTTGGAAAGCAGAGAATATTGTTTTTGTTTTGGTTTGACTTGGACCATTTAATTATTTGAAGACAAACTTGTACAAAGAGAAGAACAATCATCTACCATGGGAAAATGTTATGAAAATTTTGGAGGTCTCTCATTTGACGAGTATAAAGTGAACCTCTTTTTCTCCTCTGGGGCCACTGAAATTCTGTTAAACTAAGTGTGAAAGATTTTTGACATGCCTATTTTATAATTTTACTAAGACATTACATTTTTTCATGTTGGTTTCTTATCAGCTACTTGGAAACCAGTTGTAGTTATAGAAAAAGAGCTTTGAAATAATTTTTATTACTATTTCCCCATGAAATGACTTTGACTATACTTTATAATAGTTTATTAATCATTATGTAATTAACAGTTTATCATATCAAGATGACTGATAAACTATTCCTTAATTTCATGTTTCTAATAATTGAAATTCGGTTATTAAAGCAGTATTATTAATATATACTTCTTTATATCAAGAAATACTATTATAGATTTTTAGAAATTATAATTTTTAGTTAAATGTAGGCTTGCTTTTTTTTTTTTTTAAGTTTATTTTTCTTTTTTTAAGAAAGAGATTTTTGCTAGAGGGCATGGGTGCTCACTGGAGAGACAGCAAGCGAGAAATCACTCCTCAGGGGATGACCACACTGCAATCCCTTCTCCTCTCAGAATCTTGGGCATGCATGCACACATGTCCGGTGTGAGTTTTAAGCTGCTGGGTCCAGGATTCAAACCGCAGTTGCCTATGTGGGAGTCCAGCACATTATACATTAAGCCATCTACTGGTCCCAAGTTAATTTTTTTTTAAATGAGAGAGATACAGAAAGGCAAGTACCCTCCACAGGTCTCATTCCATGATCCCTCCTCATCCTTCCCAGCCAGCTAGAAACTTGAGGATATGCATCCAGGTTAACTGGGGAGCCAACCCCCCTGGCTTCCCATATAAGTCAGTATCATTGGAGCTGTGTGTTAGCTTCTGTGTCACTGAGCTGGCCCCAAGCTTGTCTTTTGTTTTTAAATAGATCCTCAAGTAATAATTCTTTTTTTTTTTAAGAATTATTTACTTAATTTTACTTATTATTATTATTTTCTAATTTTACCAGAGAGAGAAGGGAAA